CCGGGGTCCCACCAGCGCAGGAGGCTGCAGGGCCTGGAATGCCAGAGAAGCCCGCAGCCCCCGCTGCGTCCTCGCGCAGCCTGGGGACATAGAGGGCTTTGATGCCCCCTGCCAGGGTGAGTAGGGGCTTTCCAGCCTTTCGGGCAGGTCCCTGGGGATCCCCATGGGCACCGCGAGAGTTTTTCTGTGAAATGGGTTGTCTGGCCTGTTGCAGGAGCCACATCTGTTCTGAGGGCGTTTTCCCAAGTGCCCCTGAGTGAGTTCAGACACCAGGAGTCCCCTGCGAGCCACCTGCACCCTGCCCGGTCCAGGTGTCCCTGCACCCCTTCCCCTGCTGGGGTCTAGGCATCCCCCCCAAGCCTGGAAGCTCTGCCCTGTGGGTCTTCCTCCTTCCCAGCTGCTGCCCACCTTCGGCCCCCACCCGCAGGCTCTGAGCTCACAAGACCACCACCCTACTCACCCTGGGCACCAACGAGGCTTGTCAGAGAACAGCCTGCGGACAGGACGAAGGTCACTGAGGTTCAGAATCCCCTCCCCCCTACTCATTGGTACAAGAAAGGTGCCCAGTCTTGCAGACCTGGGGGGCAGGAGGTGGGCAGCTCCAGGCCGGCCCCAACCTAAGGGAAACCCAGTGCCCAGCTTCACCCCGGGTGTGTCGGCGCCAAAGGCATCCTGACTCCAGAGCAGGGCTCCGGGGAACCTTCTCTGGCTGGGCCATGGTCAGCATTGTCTGCTTTCTGGGCCACGTGGGGTGTGTAGCAGCTCCCCACCTGCGCACTGAGAGCAGCCACAGAGAGTGCAAACCAGGGAGCGAGGCCGTTTCCACTAACCCTGTGTTTGTGGACCCTGATATTTCAAGGCAGGTTGTTCTCTGGTCTCACCAAATGTTCTGTTTTCCTCCATCATTTGAAAGTATAAAGAAACCCATTTTTCAGCTTGCCATTGTTTGCCGACCCTGTTCTCCACGCTGCCCACACAGTCCCCCAGACCAGGCATCCACAAATATCCTCCTTCCAGAAGTTCCCGTGGATCTGAAGTGGCTCTGTCTGAGGCCGGGGCCCTGGGCCACCAGCAGATCCTTCTGGCCCAGCTCAGGAGTATCTCGGCTCTTTCTTCCACTGACCTCCTGTGAATGATAAATAGTCATCTGCTTGTGGCTTTTGAAATATCCAAGAGGTGAAGGCTGGCCGGTTGCCTGAAATCCCGCTGGGTTGAGGTCTGTCCTCCTCTGCAGCCATCGGCCGCGGCAGGGCCCGGTAACCGGGATTGGGGACCCTATGATCTCCGGAGGATCGTACTCTGGGTAGGGCCTTTCTTTCCCAGGGTGAACGGATGCAGCTTGGTTCCCAGGATGGATGTGTGACCCACAAAGGGAAATCAGAGTGCTGAGTGCATGAACTCCAGCCTGGGGAGCAGGGGGGGCCCCCGGAGAAACACAGAGACTCCAAGTGACTGTGGACACAGAGAGGGGATTCGTGTCCGGCCCCTTCACAAACATCCTCTGCTAAACCCTCTCTGTGCCTCTCTTTCCTCCTAAATCTGAGTGCGTGGTTCTAAGCACATCAGAGGCGGCAAGAAAGACAGACAGTGATAGTCTTTGAAACTGTGGTCGGTTCTTCAAGGAAACTGAAAATGAGGGAGAGGACATCCCCGAGGGATCAGCTGATGGGGTTTCAGGGCGTCATGTGCTCGAGGCTTAGGAATTGAGAAACCTTGCTCTAAAAATCGCCTCCCATTCCCGGAAGCAAGAAGTAATTCGGGATCTGCTTATTTAGCAGGATTTCTGAGTCTTTTGACCTGCAAAAAACAAAGACTGGGGTGCCTGGTGGCTCCGTGAAGCGTCTGCCTTCAGCTCAGGTCATGATGGTGAGGTCCTGGGACAGGGCTCCCTGCTCAGCGGGGAGCCTGCTTCTCCCGCTGACCCTCCCCTCCCCCTCACTCATGCGCGCACGCTCGCGTGTGCTCGCTCTCTCTCAAAAAAATCTTAAAAAAAAAAAAAAACAAAGACCAGAATTAATGCTGACCCATTAAAAAAATAGGAAATATTCACCATGAATCTGTACGTCTGTGAAGGTTTAGTCATAAAGTCATGTTGACCTTATTAAAAGATGCATTGTTTTCTTCTTTTAAAGATTTATTTCTTTATTTTAGAAAGAGAGTATGGGGGGGGGACGGGGGAGGGCCAGAGGCAAAGGGCGAGAGAAATTCCCAAGCAGACTCCACACTGAGCACGAGGCTGACCTCGACTCCATGACCCTGACATCGGGACCTGAGCCAGAACGGGGTCAGACGCTCTGCCCACAGAGCGCCCCAGGCCCCAGGGATGCGTTCCTGATACAAGTTTCCTTTTTATGTTTGACCATTACTTTTCATAACGTGGAATACACTGAAATACTTTAATCAGCCGGTGTTCACGACGGTTACTCAATTCAGGACGAATTCATACAATGTTCAGAGATGCGCGACTCGCAGGAAGTAAGAATAATTTCAGTGTCTACTTTTTGCCCCTGTGTTTGTGTGAAAGGGTAGCAGGGCTTCAGGTGTGAACGCGCGCTCCCTGACGTCCGTGTTCCTGACGGTGGGTGTCGGAGCAGGGCCCAGGCTCCCCGGCTGGCTTTAAGAGGAGGATGTGGCCGTCTTATTTTAAAGTGACAGTGTTTAGGGGGCGTGTGCCGGGCTCAGTCAGTACAACATGCGACTCTTAATCTTAGGATCGTGAGTTCAAGCCCCACGGTGGGTGTGAAACCTACTTAAATTTTTTTTTAATTTTTAATTAAAATGACAGTATTTCCGTAAGCTGGAGTACATTCTTTGTGGCCGTTGAAATTGAGCGTGAAGTTTTAGATAAGTCAGACCTACACAAGGGCAGGTAACCAGGGGCCCTTCCACAAGCGGCCGGCCAGCCCACCGCTGCTACCCGTCTCTCTGCTGGGACAGAGGGTCCCGACAGCGGACACCGGGAAGTCTAAGTACTTGTTATCTGTCCCTTGAAGAAGAAATATGCGGACCCTCGGGGGTTAGGTTTTTAAACTGACTTTGTACTGAAATAGATCATACAGAAAACTACACGGTTGTTGAACACACACTTCAGTGAATTTGAACCGTCCGGGTGCCGTCGCGTGAGCAGCAGTAGACGAGGATGCGGGGCATTGGGGGCCCCCCCGGCCTGCTGTCCGCAGTCATCTTCGCTCCCGCTGCCCCCGCGGGATGGCCGGGCCCCCTGCATTCTACACCAGATGACACCGTTTTCAGTGCCTTCTGAGTCACCCCGTTTCCTGAAATGCAAATCGGCTCCAAGGTGCCTGCTTGGCGGAAGGTCCCATTTCGTGGCCAGGGGCCCCGGCCTCATTTCGTTCTTCTTTTCTCTTTCTTTTCACAGAGAAAGTTCACTTTAAGTCGTGGATGGCGCAGGTCAGTGCTCCGCTTCCTCCTGATGGTTTTCATACCCCGTTGCACACTGTCGGACCCGACAGGGCTGGATCGGAGGTGGGGGGGAAGGCTTTTCCCACCGCACGGCCCTAGGGCTTTGGGGACCGGGACTTGGCCCGAGCAGGCAGGGTCCGGTTAGGTCGGCGCCCTCCGGACCGTTGTCCCTGGTGATGAAGCCGGCCAGCAGCCTTCCCGGCCTGGGATCCGTGTCCATACTTTGTATTCAGGGACACCGCATGCTGGCGCGGAATTAGCTGGAGGACACGTGTGCACATGCTTTCGCGAAAGGGGGTTTCGCCGGAGAGCGGAGCCGCACCCCGACGCGGCCTGCACTTGGCATATGTCTCTCCACCAGGGGCTGTGGGACCGCCGGGCAACCACGGGCACCTGCGTGCGTGGTGTCGTGGTGTTGGCTGCCCACGGGTCCCCGGAGGCAGGCGTGGGCTTTGTAACCGCCTGACTTCTGCAGCCGAGACCCTCCACCGTGTCCTGCGTCCTGACGCGGCTTGGGCTCCAGAACCGGGCCGGAAGGAGCACCTCCGACCCTCCTCTTAGAGAACGCACTGTCTCCCGGTGAGCTGGACCTTGCTTCCGCGACTTACCGCTGCTGTGTTCTGTTTTAGCACCAAAAGAAATACAGCTCAGAGGAGCACCAGCACAGGCTGCAGACCTTTGTCGGCAACTGGAGGAGGATAAGGGCCCACAACGCTGGGAACCACACGTTTAAAAGTACCGTGGGTTTGCCCTTCCTCCGGGCTCCTCGCGGCGGCGTCTCAGAGCTGGAAGGACACCAGCCGTGACTGCGGGCGCGCCAGGGACTTAGGGTGGAGGGACGGTCAGAGCCCCGGCCCGAGGCCGGCCTGAGCTGACCTTGGCTCTGGCCCCGCTGCTCTCCTCTGAGGCTCAGTGTAGCTGGTAGGGCTCTGGGCGGTGGCGGAGTTCACAGGACACCCTGGACGAGCCCCGCCGTGTGTACTTCTGAAGCCCAGAGAGCCCTGGCCTTGGCACACTCGTTAAATTCCGTGTAAGACCTGTGAGGGGCCAGGGGCCGCAGCCGGAAGTAGGACACAGGTCGGCCTGGGGGTTCTTGGTTTTCCCTGTTTCTTCAGGATGGCCCCACTGAGCGCCTCTTTTCCTCTTCCGTTTTTTTTGTTTTTCCTTCTCTTTTTCAGTGGGGCTGAACCAGTTTTCAGACCTGAGCTTCGCGGAAATAAAAAGCAAGTACCTTTGGGCGGAGCCTCAGGTAGGTGTCATTCCCTGCGAGCAAATCTGGCTCTTTCCACTCGGACCTTTGGGACAAGTTCAGAGTCTGCCCGGCTTCAGGGGGTCCCGGGTTCTTGGGGGGCCAGAGGCGGCTACCCGCGGTTCCTCAGTCCACGCCCCTGGCCTCAGCCACGGGTGCCCCAAACTTAGGGTGGCTGGAGAAAATACAGATGCACAATTAAAACAATTTCCGAAACAGAAGTGAATTTCAGGTGAACGACAGGTAGCCTTTTAGGGTAAATCCACCGTAAACACCGTGCGGGGAGCAGTCCTGCTACAGTCACTCGCCGTTTGTGTGAAGTTAAAATCGAGCCGGTGAATGTATTCTGACTTGTCAAATCTGGCTCCCGGCCCTCAGCCCCAAGCGGGGCTCCCAGAGCGTCTGACCCGGCAGGTGGGGGCTCAGTGGTTCTTAGAGCCGCGGGCTCTCCGATGCTCTCGTGATGGCCCCGTTTTAGTTGCACGCTTTTCCGTCAGAACGGTTTTCATTCCCCTGAAATTGTATTTGGTCTTTCCAGAACTGCTCCGCCACCAGAGGTAACTACCTTCGGGGGAGGGGTCCCTACCCGCCCTCCGTGGACTGGAGGAAGAAAGGAAAGTTCGTGTCGCCAGTGAAAAATCAGGTAAGGGCAGCCACCCTGGTCCTTCCCCGTAAAATAGCCACGTTCGCAGACCACACAGCCGGAGGCGAAGCCCGGAAGACCCCAACTGCCTTCCCTCGTCATCCCTCCGCCTGCTGCTGCCTCAGCAAGGTGGGAGGTTTTAGCCCCATGCTCTGGGGGAAGAGACACCCCCCTTATTGGACTACAGCTCACCTGCACCCCCGTGCTCGCCGTTCCCTCTGGCCCCCGGTCTCAGCGTCACCCGAAACGTCCTCCTCCCTGTGCCCATCAGAGATGGGGCCCCAGGCCCCTCCCAGTGGCTTCCCTCCGGATGGCGCCCGGTGTTCAGTGAGCAGAGACGCCCACCGTTGAGATGCGCTATGGCCGCAGGGAGCAGCGTGTGTCCCGTGTTCTGCACCCACAGACTGCAGACCAAGCAGCTGGCTCTGCTCTGGGTCTCAGTGCCCCCAGCTGCCCCCTGCCCACTGTGTCCCTCCCCTAGAAGGCAGAGGGCAGTGGCCTTCTCCAGAACACCGCCATCCTCTCACCCCCAGAAAATGCGAGGTGAAGGTTAACCCTCCTGGAAACACTGGCCTTCCCACTGAAAGTCTCCCCGAGAAGTGTGTTCTCCTTGACCTTCAGGCCGGGGCACAGTGTCCTATCCTCCCAGGCTTGGGGTTTCCTGGAGCCCGCGAGAGAGCTGGACGCTTACACCAGCACCGGAGCCACAGTGCATGTCCCCTCCCAGCATCAGGGGCAGGACAGAGCCGCCCTCTCCCCCGTTACCCAGCCATAGTTTTTAGACCATTTAAGAATTTCAGGACAGTTTTTTGGGGTTTTCTGTTTAAGATTTTATTTATTTGGGAGAGAGGGAGAATCCCAAGCAGACTTCTGCTGAGTGGGGAGCCTGACCGGGGCTCGATCTCACAACCCTGAGATCATGACCTGAGCTGAAATCAGGAGTCAGCCACTTAACTGACCAAGCCCCCCAGTGCCCCAGGGATCCCGCAACACTTTAAAGCAGTGGGTTTTCAGTGAGGAAGCCTGAGCCTGCTCACTGCTGGGCAGGGAGGCAGGGATGTCCGTCAGGAATGTTCCCAGGGGCACCTGGGGGGCAGGGGCTGGACAGAGGCCCGTGGCGCATCTCGCCGTGGCCACCCTGCAGGTGCACACAGAGCATCGGGATCCCATGTCAGCCTGGCAGGACCTCGGGGACTTCTCATGTCACGGGAGCAAAGGAGGGTGAGGGGTGGCCCAGCGTCCAGGAGACAGGACACAGGGGACTCCGGCGGGGGGCTCTGCTCCCGGTCCAGTGCCAGGCACTTGGCCCACTCTGCCTCCTTCGGCCGGGCCGGGCCCATGGCTTCATCGCTCCGAGACCCTGGCACAGGCTTGTCCCCCTGCTGACGAAGAGGCCAGGAGGGAGGCCAGCAGGCTGAGAACACTGACCTCCTGAGGGCAGGGGAGGGCGGTGGTGACGGGATTCAGGAGGCAGAACGGAGCGGGGAGAAGAGACGATGAGTGGGCAGGACCGCATCTGGGCCTCGAATGGCCCTGGGAGGCAGGCACGCGGCCCTGTTTTCCAGATGATAGAGCAGAAGGTGGGAGGCGGGAGGGGACCCCCTGGCTTGCACAGCTGGCACGTGGCAGAGCAGTGACAGGAGCCGGGCAGGTGGGCTCCGGCGCCCCACCCTCACGTCCAGAGCCTGGCCCTGGACGGTGGCAGGAGGAGGGCGGGCCCGGCAGAGGCAGGTGTCGGGCTTGAGGAGGTGCGGGTGGGATGAGGTTGGTGCAGGGGCGGTGGCAGAGATGGCTCTGGAAACAGGACTCGATGAGTGAGTCCTTCCAAGAAACCTTGGGGAGAAGAGGAGCCAACATAACGTTCAGACCCAGAAGGAAAGCCGGCAGCCCCCAGGACGGGCGCTGGGCTTGGGACGGGGTGGGCGCTGGTGAAGCAGATCACCTCAGCCATAACACGGAGGGCCCTGGCCGCACAGGCCCACGTGTGGACAGGAGCCTGGGGCTCTCCCGGGCCTGCGTCTTGGTGTCCCCACGACCAACCCAACCCTTACCCTGGCCTCTCTAGGGCGGCTGTGGCAGCTGCTGGACGTTCTCCACCACAGGGGCCCTAGAGTCCGCCATCGCCATCCAGACTGGGAAGCTGCTGTCTCTGGTAAGCAGTCTGGCACTGGGGTCACCTGCCGCGCTCGCTGCTCTGCCCCCACACCTGACAGGGCCGGGTGGGCCCTCGGGCTCCTTCAGGGCTTCAGGCAGGGATGCCGTTTCAGCAGACATCAGGCGCCCCTGCCTCGTGGCTGCTCGGCCTGTGAAACGGAGCGCATGCTTTCCTGCAAACAGACGAGGCTGTTGAGGGGGCAGCCCAGGGCTCGCTTCGGAGGGGTCAAGCAGGTCCATGTTGGGCCCCTGGGGCCTTGAGAGAGCAGAGCCCGGCAGTCAGGCCTCTAGGAGCTGTGCCCTGCCCCCTCTGCCCTGTGAGAGGGGCTGGGGCTTGTGTGTCCAGCTGCTGACCCCAGAGCAAGGGAAGGTGGTGGGTGAGGGCCTTGAGGCGAGGCAGAGCAGGGTCTCCCGCTGGGCCTGTCTGCTGCCACCCCCCCCGGCCTCCCCGGGCACGAGAGCCTCCCCCCCGTGCCCCACAACTGGCAGCACTCGACACGGAGGCCGGCCGAGCCCTCACCGCCACTGAGCCCCTCCCGCCACACGACGGCTGTGGAGTCGTCCTCGGGGCCCTGACCTCTGGGCGTCTTGATGCAGTGCCGTCGGGGCCGGGCGCGTGCCTGCAGGGATGGCTCAGCGCCTGGTGCCCGAGCCCCCGCTCACGGCCCCCGTGCGCCCCGCAGGCGGAGCAGCAGCTGGTGGACTGTGCCCAGGACTTCAACAATCACGGTTGCCAAGGGTGCGTCCCGACTGGGGGTGGCCAGAGCCCCGCTCCTGCCCACAGATCGGCCCCGTCCGGTCCAGCCACGGACCCGCCCCACCGCGACCCCGCCCTGCTGCCCCAAAGCGGTCCCCTCACCTGCCTGGGGTCCCACAGCCAGAATGGGGCCAAGCTGTGTTCCCCAACTCGACCCTCCCCCCACGGTGTCCCCCCCACCACCGTGCAGGCGGCCTCGTCCGCCCCCAGGGCCCGCGGCCAGATCCACACGCAGGTGTCTGGCTGGCCTTCCCGCTCGTGGGGAGCTCTAAGCTAGCCCGGCCCGGGCTGTGAGGGACCTTTCTGTCGGGGTGGTGACGTGTTCCTGCCTGAAGGCCTGTCTTCACTGCACCTGCTTTCCTGGCCCGTTCCTAAAACGGTTGCGGGGATTTCCCTGCTCGCGTGGCTGGAGTCTGAGGCTGTATCCTGGCCCACGCACACACCCGGCCCACCCCTCCCGGACTCAGCCCCTCGGCCCCCGTGGCCCAGTCCGGGGAAGGGGCGCCCCGGCTCCATGAGCACCTGCTGCGTAGCTGGGCCCTGGGGATGCGGCAGCCAGCTGGGCGCAAGGACCGGACATGCTGGCTGGCCACAGAGACCGGAAACCGCGTGCCCTGGGTCACGGTGCTGGGTGCTGGGTGCTGGGAGCCAGCGCGGGAGTCCGGGGTGCCAGAAGCTGTGGCCGGACAGCCATGCGCGGATTCTGGCTTCCGCTGAGTGGCCCTGGGCAAGTTGTTCAGCCTTTTTGAGCCCCAAGAAATGACAGCATCGGCCCCGCAGGGTGGACGTGAGGGGTCGGCAGTCTTGTCTGTCGAGCGCCTGCTGGTCGGGGCCCAGTGGGGGCTCAGTGGTGGTGAATCCCCGTTGCTGGGCGGGTCCATGCGGCCATCCAGAAACTCCAGTGTCTCTCGCAGGTCTGTGGGGTGCGGCCCCGGTCAAGGCCTCCAGCCCCTGCAGCCGCCACGACTGGGGCCAGCATGGGGGGCGTGTCTGTGCTTCTTGCAGGGGCCTCCCCAGCCAGGCCTTCGAGTACATCCGCTACAACAAGGGCATCATGGGGGAAGACAGCTACCCCTACAAGGGCCAGGTAATCCCGGACAGCTGCGGCTTCACAGCCTCGGCCTGCGGGGATGCCCCGCCCCGTCTTGCTCGTCCCCGTGAGCTGCAGCGCGGCCCCTCCCACCAGAACCATCCCCTCATTCACTCTTCGTCTCCTTGGCTCGCTGGAGCACACCCCTCACCAGCCCTGCGGCCTCCCATCCGCCTGCGGCTCCCGTTCTCCCAGGTGCCCTCCTGCCATGTGCACCGAGGGACCAGCGTCCACTGCCCTCCCCACCCATCAGCACTGCCCGTGCGGTCACTCTCACGCTGACCACGCCTTCCAGCACCTGCACCCTCTCTGTCCCAGGCGTGTTATCACCTCACCCCGGCCTGTCCACGGCCCTGTCTCTCCCCCCAAAATCCATGGTTCCACCAGCATTTCCCCTTGCTAATGAGCCCCACCGGCCCCCACAGAACCTGCTGGCCACAGTCTGGGGTGGTCCAGAACCTCCCTTGAGTTCTGCCCGTCAGCCATCAGAGACCCCACACCTTCTTCAACCCGTCCGTGACCCTGCCTCCTTCATCCCGCTCTCCCGGGGCCACCACTTGGTCTCCCGGACCTTGTTCTGACCACTCACCTGCCTTGTGCCGCGCCCCCATAAATCCTGGGCTCCAGCCCAGCTGCTGGCTCACTCACAGACACCAGGTCATGCCTCTCGCCATCCCCACCTTCTCTCATGTCTCGGGAGCACATCCTCTTGCCCCCGTGTACCTGCTCTGCACCTGCCTTGTGTCTGCGCACATCTGCACCCCGAGACTAGTGCTCCCTTCCCCCACCAGGCAGGCTCCCGCCCACCTGCGGTTCTCACCAGGTACCCCAGGCTCTGCGAGCCCCCCTCCACGGGAGCCAGAGCCAGGCCATGTCGCCCCTGTGAGCGCCTTGAGAGCAAGGATGACTCTGACTCCCTTTGAGTGACCCCATCTCCTGGCCCCGCACTCAGCGCTTTGGCTCTGCCGACATCACCAGACGGCACGGGGTAGGCCCGAGGTCTCAGGCCGGGGCCAAGCCTCCCTGACTTGTGCTCCCCGAACAGGACAGTGACTGCAAGTTCCAGCCCAGCAAGGCCATCGCTTTCGTGAAGGATGTGGCCAACATCACCATCGTGAGTAACGCGCCTTCCCTGCGACGGGTCATGTGCTCCCGCGAGGAGCCCGGCGTCCACTGCTGTCGGATGGCCAGTAGGCGCGGCAGCGCGGCCTGTCCCAGCGGCAGGTCACGGGCCTGGAAGGTCTTGGACGATTGTGGCATCCCGAGGCAGCAGGTGGGAGGGACAGAGTGCAGGGCAAGCACCAGGCACTCGGGCTCAGACCTGGGTCTGGGCAGGGCTCCGGTCAGGTCCGTTTTCTCCCTTGTGAAATGCAAGCAGCAGGGCCCGCCCCGCGGGGGAGGGTGTGAACACGTGTGTGATGTCAGCGTGTGTGGAAGAGACTGGATGCAAACTCATCGCGTGTGAACGCACACGGTTACGCTGCTAACGAACAGCCCCGAGTGTGGCGTTCACAGCTCCTGCGTGACGGGGCGGTCAGCAAGCGCAGCTGCACTCCACGAGGATGGCTTCCGTCTAGGACGCCGCCAGGGGGACAGATTGGTCGATTTTGCTGACTCTGTGGGGGCAGGGATGTTGGGGGCAGGGCGGGGGGACCACAGGGGGCTCTGTGGGGGCAGGGGTGTCTCTGGGAAGAGAGGGCCTGCAGACCGGCACGGCAGGGGGAGGTCACAGGGGAGCCAGGTTTCGGAGGAGGGACCCGTAGCCACATAAGGAACCCAGAGGAGCCTGTCCACTCCACACCGCCCCGCACCTGCTGTGAGGAGGGGGCGGCTGCCCGGTGGACACAGCCCTCTCTCCCTTCCTTCTGGGCGCCCATCTCTGCCTCAGGGCAAAGGGCCGTTCTTGGGGGCGGGGGCAGCGGTGGCGGGGAGAGTGGTGACGGGGCTGTGCCCGCAGAATGATGAGGAGGCCATGGTGGAGGCCGTGGCCCTGTACAACCCCGTGAGCTTTGCCTTCGAGGTCACCAGCGACTTTATGATGTACAGGAAAGGCGTCTACTCCAGGTGAGCTGGGGTCCCTATGGCGACCCTGGGCTGGGCAGGGCTGGCCCCCAACACCGCTCGTGTTGACCCCACAGCCGCCTGGCCAGGCGAGGAGGGCAGGAGGACCCAGCCTGCAGGGTCGCGGCCACCTCCGTTGAAAGGAGCAGGTGGGAGGGCGGGAGGACGGAGGAGCCGCTCCTGCGGTCAGGGCTGGGGACTTTCCCACCCCGATTCTGGAATGGGCTTGCCTCACCCTCGCCCCGGGGCACTCGCCTGTCCTGCATCATGAGTGTAGCCCCCGAGTCCCAGGCCTCTCCCGCAGAGGGTCCTCCCCGCCCCCGTGCTGCCCGAGACCCGCCACTCAGAAGTGTGCGCTCACCCATGTGTCCTCGGGCCATCCCCGCCAGTCTGTCCTCCACGCCGAGCTCTCTGGCCTTGCTGGCCTCTGCCTCGCCCGCGTCCCCCGCGCCCCAGGGTCCAGAGTCAGCTGGGTGGGGGACCCTGGCGATTGGGGCCTTCTTTCTCCGAGCCCATTTCCCAGGGAAACAGCCCCCACCCCCGATGGTTCGCCGCCACCACACTGAGGGGCCCTCCAAGGGACCCCCATTCCTGCTGGGCTGACCCCCTCCTGGGGGCGCCTCAGCCCTCGGTCACCGCCCCACATGGGTGGCCTCCACCAGGCCACTCCCCACCAGACGCAGCTTCCGGAGGACAGGGTCTGGCACCTCAGGCTCCCCACCTTCCATGCCCCCAGGCCCCGCGCTGGGACTCAGCGCCTCAGAGCCTGGCGTGGGGGACGGGGACCTCTGGGGGAGGGGCCGGGTCATCCGGCTGCAGCCTCCTTCCTGTGTCTCCCACCTCTTCTATTCCCCATTCCCAGCACTTCCTGTCATAAAACTCCGGATAAAGTAAACCACGCAGTCCTGGCTGTTGGGTACGGAGAGCAAAACGGGATACCCTACTGGATTGTGAAGAACTCTTGGGGTCCCCAGTGGGGGATGAACGGGTAAGCAGCTTCTGGGCCCCGCGCTCAGGGAGGGGCATCATCGCTCGGGTCTGGGAGCCTGGGGGTCTTCTCCCGCTTAGGCACATGGCATCTGAGCCGGGGTTCAGCTGGGCCCCCCATGGAGCCCTGGGGGAGGAACCCAAGGCTGAACCCCACACCTGAGACACTGCCGTGCCCGCCTCTCCTGTCCTGCGCCCCACATCCCAACGATACCGTGTCAGGAACGGGGTCCGTTGTCCCAGAAGGGTCAGTGGACGGGACGGTAGCGGCTCAGCCCGGAGCCAGCCCTGCGGCACGGAGCGGGCAGCTGGGAGGGCAGGGCAGCCGAGATCAGGCCATGTGCTTCCCGCGGACCCCGGGGCCAGGGGCTGGAACGGGGAACCCTGGTGCACACCCACCCTCAAGGGGCTCCATCGCGTGGGGCTGAGAGGGAGCCCCGGTAAATTGTGGGGACAGTGGAAGTGCACACAGTATGGCAGCCAGAGGGAGGGGAGGGAAAGCTGTTTCCTGGCCCTCAGCCCTGAAGTCAGGTTGCGGGGCAGCAGAGGACAGCGGGGAGGGAGCCCGGCCAGGCCCCAGCTTGCTCTGCCTGCCCAGGTACTTCCTCATCGAGCGCGGGAAGAACATGTGCGGCCTGGCAGCCTGCGCCTCCTACCCCATCCCCCTGGTGTGAGCGGCGCGGGCGGGGACCACAGTGGAAGTCCTGCCACGAAGGAAGGCGGGCCCTCGCCCCCATCCCGGGCCAGAGGCCGTGAGGAAATGAGGAAGAGGAGTCATCCCCTGTCCCCCAGCAACAAGCCTCCCCACGGCTTCCGACGGGAAGGTGGCCGCCAGCTGTGCCTTAAACGTCCCTGTAACTCACTCGAACTCACATGGCCGAGAATATTCCTGATTTCCCACAGGGGCCGCTTCTCCTGAGTGGAGAGCGCCCACGGCCATCGTTTCTGTGATCTTTATCCAATAAACACGTGGTGAACTCCTCCCCAGGCCAGGCCTGTGTGTGTGCTGGGCCCCCACGGGACTCGGGCAGGCCGGCCTGCAGGCCCCTGTCCCCTGGGAGGGCGGCATCCAGGGGCTGCCTGGCGGGAAGGATGGTGTGGGCGCAGGGGTCACTGTCCACCAAGAGACGCCCGGGAGGAGGAGCAGGCTGGCACCGACAGCTTGGCCAGTTGCGCCCCCGGGGGTGGTGGGGAAGAAGGCTCGACGGTCAGGATCCAGACCCAGGCATCAGCCTGGAAGCTCGGACTTGCCCGCATGGCCTCCATCCCCACACACAGGCCCTCTGCCCAGGACTGCCCACCCTGTCCTCACCAACCCTCCCCTGAACATGCCCGATGCTCCTGCCAGCTCCCGCCACCCCTTCCCTCCTGGGAGCTCTGGGCGTCCATGCTGAAGGCGGCCCCGCGGCATCTGGGCTCCGGGAGTGGGGTCCACGGGCCGAGCTGGGGCTCTGCTTTGTCCTAAACTTCACGGTTCCCTTCAGGGGAAGGCTCTCGTGTCACTCGGGCCTCCTGGACAACTAAAGGTTTAGCAACATTTGGAAAAGAAAAGAAAAAAGTTTTTGTGATAAGGTTCACTTAGAAAATAACTGTATGGTTTTAATCTGTTAGAAATTCCAGTAACATTAGACACGGCAACACAAGACAAAGAGTTGTGAAACACAGGCATGTTCCCTTGACATGTAGACTCCTAGACCCTCAGTCAGTGGCACTGAAGGCAGACGTGTGACACACACGCTCACGACCAGCGCGGTTGCTTGACACCAACCTGGAAGGTCCGGCCGCAGCAGCATGGGGGTAAACCCGGCCCAGCGTCTGCGGATGGTGTGACACCGTGGCTTAGAGACACCCAAGAGTGTCTGATGAAGTCCAGAAGGTGCTGGTGACCAGACACAGAGAACACAGAAAGTCAACAAAACCCAGAAAAAAACATGTCCCGCGACTGCAACAATGCCAGTGGCCAAGAGTCCCCACCAGAAAACCAATACAAGTGTGCGTAGGAGAGAACGTCGGGACTGCTGGAAGCGAAGGCAGGGCTTGAATCGGCGAGCGGACGCCGCATTCGCGCGTGGGAGGTCCGCACAGCACCGCGGAGTCTCCTCTGGGGCTTTCCAAACAAATGTCAGTGAAATAGTTTGACACTTTTCTATTTGTCTGAGAGAACGAGGCCAAGATGGTTAAGAAAACTTGATGACGAGCGATGGGACGGGTGTCCGCACTGCACAGCGCCCCCAGCTAAGAACCGGCAGCTCCGTGTCCCCGAGCCACAGAATGAGAACTCGGGGTGTAAGCAGGTGGGCGAACTGGCCTTCAGTACTCCGTGAAAGGGGCTAGGAAACTGGGGGACTATCTGGAACAGTGACCTGACCTAAATCATCATCCACTCTTCTTTAAAATAAACTTTTAGGGGCACCTGGGTGGCTCAGTGGGTTAAGCCTCTGCCTTCGGCTCAGGTCATGATCCCAGGGTCCTGGGATCGAGCCCCGCGTAGGGTTCTCTGCTCGGCGGGGAGCCTGCTTCTCCCTCTCCCTCTGCCTGCCTCTCTGCCTGCTTGTGCTCTCTGTCAAATGAATAGATAAAATCTTTAAAAAAAAAAAAAAAAGTAAAAACAGTCTCACCGTGTGGCCCAGCAAAGCCACTCGGACAACGGAGAGCACGTCCCCCCGCAGTGCGTCCACGTGTCCTCAGAGCGGCTCTGCTCGTAACTGCCGAGACGTGGGAACAAGCACGCGTCCGTCTCCTGAAGCAGACACACAGATGAGGCCTGTGCGTGCGCTGGGCTGTGACTCAGAGCAATGACCGCTGACACCTGCTACCTCAGGGTAAATTCCGGAAACACTGCCCGTGGCCAAAGGAGCCACGCACGAAAGACCACGTACTAATCCCATCCGTGTGAAACGTCCTGAACCGGCAAAGCCGCAGAAACGGAAGGAGACGTAGCTGCTGGGGAGGGGGTAGGCAGGGCGGGGGAGGGACTGCTTCTGGGCCTGGGCTCTCTTTGGGGGGGTCTGAGAATGTTCTGGAATCAGACCGTGGTGACGTTGGCACAACTCTGTGCTTCTGCTGCAGTTCACGTGCGCTGTGTGCGGGAGAAGGGGGGGTTCGCGGTAGGTGAACGGTATCGAAAACCACAGTCTGGGAGGAGTGTTTGAGGGTTTGCCCAGGACGCCCCCGAGACAGACAGGCACCGGCTCCGCCACCAGGACCCCGGGGCTCTGCGGATGGGAGACATTCAAGCCGAGGGAGGAGGGATGAGTGGGCCTCCACGGAGGACAGAGAGGACACTCCCCTCCACGGGAGGAGTGTGTGGAAAGCCCAGGGCGGGGGCTCCCATGACAAAACCCCCACTGACCTCCGGTGGGCAAGGTGGCCCAGTCTGCAGAGGGGAACCCGAGGCTGTGGCCCGGGGCCCCAGCTGTGGTCCCGGGAGAGGAAGTGGCGTGAGAGCGTCCGCCCAGCGTCCGTGGGACGCACCACGCTCCTCACCAAAGGAACTTCCCCTTCAGAACAAGTGGGCGCCACCTGCAAAGCAACCCCACCTCAAGCACGTGGACACCTGCTCCCGGGGCTGGGGGCAGGGGTAGTGCAGGGAGAGCGGAGGGGCACAGGGGGGCAGGGGGCGGGCATCCACCTCCTCCAAGTCCCCTGCCTCCAGACAGCAGTGTCCATGCACAGAAGCTGCCCTTCTGGGGGCCGAGATGAAGCCCCTGGGTGGCCCCAGTCCTGAAAGTGTGGAGCCCCTCCCCCTCCCCAGACGCGCGCGTGCACGCACGAGTGTGTGTGTGTGTGTGTGTGTGAGAGAGAGAGAGAGAGAGAGAGAGAGGGAGAGAGAGACACGGATGGACATGCGTACGGACATGCGTACACAAATCAAAGCAGCTTCCTTCTGGGTTGTCAGGTTCTCACTTGGGGCACTAAGGGCCCTACCTCGAGGGGGCCCTGCCTGCTTTCCGTGTCGGCTGACCGACCGTCCCAGTCGGCCCGCACCGGAGACATTCCCAAGACTGGCAATTTTCAGTGCCAAAGTGACGACATTCCCAGGAAAACAGGCAGGTCCGGCTTGCTGGGTGGGTGGCCAGCGGCAGCCTGGGTGAGTCCCCATGCTTGGTAAGTGTCCTGACGCACTCACCACGTTTACGTGCCCGTGGGGCCACCAGCCTGGCTCCTAGTGGCCCCTGGATGCGCGGTCTGGGCCCGGGGAACGTGCAGGGGGAGGTCCAGAGACGGAGCTCGCACCCCCACCTGCAGCCGGGAGCAGCCGGCGTTCGGGACGGTGCACGGGGCCTGCTCGGGACGGCCGTCACCCGAACACAGGACGACAGGCCGCAGCATGGGTCTCGGGGTAGGCGGGCTCCGACCCCAGCTCAGCTGTGTCCTTGACCACCTCAGGCAGACGGAAGCAGACATGGACCCACACGCTCTGCCACACATATGACCCACAAATACAACCCCCGCCCGGGGGTTCACTGTCACCCTCACCTTGCAGGTGAGAGCACGACCCCGACACCTACAATATGACGTGCCAGGATTCAAACTGGGTCCCGCTCTGAGCCCCAGAAATGGGAACGACACCCCTTCCCCGTTGGGTCCCAGCAGCTCCGGGGCAGTGTCTGCGAGCCACCAGCACCAGGCACGCAGTAAGATGGGAGAGAAGAGCTCGCTCTCCCCTCCCCGTTGACGTTGACGTACAACCTGTCCTTTCAAGGTCATGGTGTTTTTTCTTAAAGACACGGTGGCATCGCTCAAGAGTTTCCAAGCAAACCGGCAGCTCGTCCACTGGGGCGGCTACAAACACCACAGACCTGCCCTGCTCAGCGTCCTGGGGTGGCACGGTGGGGTGAGGGCCCACGTCCTGCTGCCCTGTGGGCCCCAGTACACCCCGGGCACCCCACAGGCCCCCTCTTAATGCCCTCACATCAGGGATCAGGTTCCCAGATGAACTTGGGGGAGTCGTGAGCACTGAGAGCACAGCACAGACCACGGTGTTTCCGGCTGTGGGTTCAGAGCCACAACAGCAGCGGGGCAGGGGCCCGACCTCCCTAAAACCTTGGGGCCAGCCAACATGCTCACCCCAGTCATCCTCAGAACTGGGCTCCCGGTGCCCTATGAACTAAGACTTGAACAAGGCCGTGAGCGCCTCCGGTCGGGACAACCCCAGGGTCCTCCAGCACCAGCAGGAAACGCCACGCGAGGGTTCCATGCCGTCAAGCTGAGTGCAAGGTTCCCCTGATCCCCAAAGCCACCACTTCACCCACCGACAGTTTTCAACTCCCAACGCAGTTTACCCCTTTCATAGTTGTCTTTAACTCCGAACAGCAGAGAACGGGCAGCCGCGGCTAAGTCAACACACGAGTGTGGGCTGGAAGCTGCGTCTGTCCATCCGCAGGGACTGATGATGGTGGTCGGGGCCAGAGGACCCCTGGGGGATGGCCACCATGGGGGACAGGGAGGGAGGGGGTCCGCCGCTGTAGGGAAGTCCCGGTGCCCCCTAACCCGGGGCCAGGCGCAGCGGGAAAGGCGGGGGGAGGACCAGGACTCCCTCCCCTGTCGCCCTTGTCCAAGGGCCCCGGACCAGCCAGCATGTGGCCTGGGACGAGGCCAATGCGGGCCCTCCCTTCCAGAACGCAGCGGCTTCCCTCAGCCCTGCACCCTGACGCACTCAGCTGCCAGGGTCACTGCCAGA